ATGCTGCATAATTCAGGTAGCGGCACACCATGCGAGTGTTGCTAATGGTCGCAAAGTTCATATGTCTCAATATCTTCTTGATCATTTCGGAAGATAATGAAGTTGGGGCATGATCTCTGTTCATACGTGTCAGAGTTCTCCATATTTTCGGATGAGTGCTTTGGTGCACCATCACGCTTTATGAATTCGATTTACGTCGACGCAGACCCAAGTGTGCCACTTCTACAGCTTTGGCGCACCACAACTACGATGACCACTTTTTCTCAACGTGCACACCGAGCACCAAAACTACAAAACCAGCCAACTAAACGTGGATTCGCCATATAAAAAATTGACCCGTGCTCGGCATGCAATGCACATTGGAGCGTGTGATGACTGATAGAAACGGCAATGCCAACATAATTTTGGGTACCGCATCGCTCTGACTGATGAAACTAACCTTTTCCTCGCGGCCAACATGTTGCTCAGGCTGCTGTACGGCTAGCGCTGTGTTTATGTTCACAATTCCTTATACATGCAGTATGTGACAGCATCCCCACTGATCAGAGAACATTGTTTTGTGTCAAGCCGGAACTAACTTGAAAACAAATGAACAGTTATTTTCATGTGGCAAGTTTTATCATTACATTTTTTGTTTTAAGGAAGAAAATAATTTTTGAAATTTCCCATTGATGACTATCTTTCCATTTGGTCACACCACAGCTTTTGTCTTGAAGTTCCTTATTGCCATCAATGGGAAACTTCAAAAATTATTTTTTCCTTAAAACAAAAACTGTAATGATAAAACTTGCCACATGAAAGGAACTGTTATTTGCTTTCAAATCAGGTCTAAAGGTGATTTTTAACTGGACCACCACATGGTGCCAATGGCTTCTCAATATGGACAAAAAAGATGATTTTGTGAAATTTGTTATTTTTTCCCATAAATTTTGACAACTTGAACGGTCAAAATGTATTTTTCTCTATAAATTATACCTTCTGTTAAGTAAATATTAATTGTTCAAATATTGATACAAAGTGCAGTATTGCAACGGAAAAAATACAAGCATAACACATTTTGGCTGAATACTTGGAGGCGCATGAGGCAGAAAAATTGCATTAATATTACTGAGCTTCAAACATCTTACACAATCAAGTTTACTTACCATGCACACAATATTTTGTACAGAAAGAAAAAGTGGAACCTTAAAAATAGATGTTTTCCCAATCAACAAACAAACGACATTCTAGGAAGTTCAGAAAGCGCTGACGTGACCAAAAATTTTTTTCGGTCCAAAATGTTTTAGCAGTTTACTCTCCCCATTGCAGTAAATCAGCACGATTTCTTTCTAATACATTTGAGATGGTCGCCAGAATGGCTGGGACGTTTGGCATGGAATGACCGATTTCACGAAGATTAGCGTCTATTTGAAAAGTAGTTTCGAGACCTGGCATAGCTTTGTGGTAAAATGCTTCATTTCCGCGCAGAATGCTTGGTTCGATTCCAGCTGGGACCCTGACATTTATTATTTGCCTTCGTCGGGTCGATGCTAATGATGTCAGGTATTCCTAATTACGCTCGTGCATTGAAATTGCCTATGTGTGTTAATTCTCGTCGTTCCTGGGTAGATACTAAGTGTCAATCACCTGTGGCACATACCCTCCCGTGGGTATGTGCCACTGTCTGGCGGCTGGTAAGTGGTTGACGACGTACGCGATGGGATTGTGACATTATTCATGTCTTGACCAGCGCGTCATATTTGTCAAACCATCTTACCCTCCCATGCTAATTTTGGTTCACGCCAAGTTAAGGGGGGGACCGCAATTAAGGGCACCCAAACTTAAGCAGCTAGATAGATAGATACGCTGAAAGTCGCCGAAGTTAGCTAAGAAATGACTTGCATTTAAAATTATTGCTATATTTTCTAATGTGTAATTTGAGTGCGTCTGCATGTGTGTTTTCATTTTGGGTCGTTCCACACCAAACGTCCCAGCCATTCTGGCGAGCATCTCGGATGTATTCGAAAAAAAAAAAATCGTGCTGACTTACTGCATTCAAAGCAGTGAATTGCTAGAATATTTGGGACAGAAAAAAATTCTGGTCACGTCGGTACCTTCTGAACTTTCAAAAATGTCATCTGGGTGTTGTTTGTGAAAAACAGATTATTTTAACAGCAGTAGATTTTCTTTCTATACCAAATTTGGTGCACATGTTAGTTAAAGGTTCTTGTGTAAGGTGTTTCAAGCTCAGTAAAATCAGTGCAATTTTTCTGCCGCATACACCTCCAAGAATTTAGATGTGTTATGTTTACAATTTTATTATTGCAACACTGCACTTTGTATGAATATCTCAGCCATAAATACTTACTGCACAAAAGGTATATTGTGCAGAAAAAAATATTTTTAGACCTTTCAACCTAAAAAATTGTCAATTTTGTCCATACTAAGACACAATTTGCACCATGTGGTGGTCTAATTAAAAATCACTTTTATACCTAAATTGAAAGCTAATAAACAGTTCGTTTTATATGGCAAGTTTATCGTTACAATTTTTGTTTTAAGAAAGAAAATAATTTTTGAAGTTTTTGACTGACGCCAATGCAAACTTCAAGGTGGAAGCTGTCGTATGACTAAATGGGAATGTAGCCGTCAATGAGAAACTTCAAAAATTATTTTCTTCCTTAAAATGCAAATTGTTATAAAAATTGCCATATAAAAAGAACTGTTCATTTGTTTTTGATTTAGGTACAAATGTGATTTTTGAATGGACCACCACATGGTGACATTTGCCTTTCAATATGGACAAAAATGACAATTTTGAGAAATATGTGATTTTTTTTCAAGGTTAAACAGCTTGAAAGGTCTAAAAATATTTTCCCCACAAAATATACTTTTTGTGGAGTAAGTATTTATTGCATAGATATTCATACAAAGTGCAGTGTTGCAATAGAAAAATTGCAAACATAGCACATTTTGGCTAAATGTTTGGGGGCATACGTGGCAGAAAAATTGCACTAATATTACTAAGCTTCAAACACCTTGCATAAGAACCTTCATCTAATATTGAGACCAAATTTAGTACAGAAACAAAAAGTGTTGCTTTTCAAGTTTATTTTTTTTTTTCAAACAACACCCAGACCAAGAAGGTTTAAAATAAGTTGCTGGAGAAACTCCTACAATGCCTTGCCAGCAAAAGTGAAGCCACCTTTTTCCCTGCCAAGATGTCGGAAACATGCTCTTTTCTGGTAGTGCACACTTCATCAAGTGGCTCAAGAGATCAAGTGGCTTTGATGTTAGTGTAAATGCTACGTTAATTCTATATTAAAAGTTGGTTGTTTCTGAACTCTTGAATACACTTTGCCTGACTAGAGATGCTTACTAAGGAAAACTAGTAACACTAAGACGCAGATGGAGCACTATGTTGCCCGAAAAAGTTCAACATTTGACTTGTTGAACGTGCGAGGAAAGCACTCCATTCTTAGTTGCTGAATTCCACTGTACAAGAGCACTGCATTGCCCTTCAATCGCAGGATAAAAAACTTGAAATGTCTTTTTTCATGACTTAAACAAAACCAGAAACTTACTGTTGAATGTTTGATATATGCTTCTTCTAAATGCAAAATACCACAATTGAATTTGGTGCAGTAGATGCAGCACTGAACGATTTCTCCATAATCAGGATTTCAATAACTCCCACGAATAGACTTTACTTGAACTAGCATTCTGGCTCCAAGAAAGCTGAGCACAACTTTCACACTGATGACAAAAATCAGTAAGAAAAATGTATGACTAGCAAACAATTTTTTCCGCCTGAGGGAAGTATTATTGGCATCAAATGAAACCCAAACAGCGGCAAGTATTAGAAATGGTATCATGTGCACCATCCAGTCATCACCATTACCTACCAAGACCAGGCTTACGGCATTGGTTTGGCAGCACTGTGCATGTCCACAATAAGGATTGGACAGCGACTAATGCTTGCCACTGTTCAGGATTCACTTGACGCTGAACATAAACAGACACAGTAATACATACATTCCAAGACTGAACATAGAACTTTAGAAATCTGCTTCACCAGGCGTGTGACAAAGCAGATTACTGAACTGAACCTATGACAGCTAATGATGGTGTTCAGAAATTTGCAACTTGTCAGCCAATTCAAAAATGCCTCTTCACGTGAACTTACAGCATAACAAAATTACTGCAATTTTTAAGCCTCTTCACAAATGTTAGCTCTAGATGTATACTATTCAATAAGTTAGCAACCCAGTGCATCCTGCATGATGTTAAAACATCACAGCAGTCCACTGCAAAAGCCCAGCTCTGGCTCGAAACACTGAGCATAATATCTACAGTTCCACCACCAACAAGTTGTCAGTGCATCTGCACAGCAAAGCATGCATAGTCGCCTCAAAACTTGTGCAGTATCATTTCAGGTATTCACTAGTGATGGGGTCCAGATGAGATTAATGATGACAATTCCATGTGCAGTAGTGATTAAAACTATTATTAGAGAGCTTTCAAATAGGGGCCACAAGAGTTTGGGGCCCTAAAGAAATAAGCATCAAGGCCACTGCACATGCGCAAAACCCAAACCACATTTGGGTTAGGGACACTATTTTTCGAATTTAGCGGGAGCACCAAAGCCTGCCCCAAAAGTTGGGGCAGACAAACGTGACAGCACCCACTGAAGTGACGGCTCTCGCCCAAGACCAGAGTGAAATAGAATAGGGGGAGTGTACAAAGCGCCCAAAACGTCCATACGCCTTTGGGGCCCCTATTCGAAAACTTTCTATTTACTGTGATGAGAATACTAGTGAGGGCAAGAAACTGAAAAACTAGTGCTATAACAATCTGTTAAGCACATCAAATTTATTCAATACGTGGCAAGACTGGCTTTTCTGCGAAGGAGGCACAGGGTAAACATGTCGAAGTCTCTAAAGGAACTCTGTCTCACAGAGCAATTGCATATTTCCGTAATGACCACAACTAACAAACCCAAGATATGGTGAACACGTTTCTACAGAGCCAGCAACATCATGATACTCAATTTTATTCAGTACAGCAATGCATGTTGTTTACCAGCTGCCATTGCTTATGTAATTTTTTTTTCACTTTCTGGTTGACACTAAGTCAATAAACATACGGCAGCCTCTGATGCACATATGGTTGAACACGCATGCTCGCGTGAACAATGGCAGCGAGGGGGGCCCGACGTCCCGCACCCTTCCTTGTGGCTTGTCCTAAGGCATCTACTTCGCAGATCCACCACTGGCCTTTTTCTTCGCCCAAAAAAGAAAACCTACGGTTCCCAGTACCAAGTACGTGCTCTTGGCAATCTGAAAAACGAAATAGGCGACACTTTGGAGCTCCCTGGAGTGCGCTTCATTTGGTCCTCATGACTTACGTTGGCGCGGCCCGTTTTGGTAACAGTGTTGAAGTATTTAGAGAAACCTTGAAACTGCGACTCGTGTGCACCAGCCATTACAAAGCCGGAATCTGCAAAGCAACACCGGGTCAAATGAAAAAAGACTTCAGCAATACTACTCAACATGGACAGAACACCAGCACATCTGGTATTGCGATTCCTTAAAAACGAAACTTCTTTTTCATCCTACCGTACTTATCCAATCGAACGTTTTTCACAGCCAAAAGAAAACATCTTAGAACAATTACGTAAACGATATCGATAGCGTATTTCCTTTGCGATGTACCAACCAAAATGAACGAGACATCACAGGTGGTTAACGAATTTTTTAAAGAACACGAGTGCTTTCTATAAAGTCTTGGGCTATTATGACACATTCTACCAAGTGCAATTGCCATCTAAACTCAGTGACTAATCCCAAAACCATCGAAGTACCCGATTTAATTCACGTTAACCGATGTGAGCATGCCATGTCCATGCTGTATGATCACGTAGACACAATTCACTCACCCCGAAAGGTCAAATAAGTACGGTGTCATAAGGAAGAACTCTAAATGTGTGTTTGTAGTGAGAGATGTGGAACTTACCAAGCAATACAAGGATGCAAGCAGAGGTTATGCAGAAGGTCAGCCTACCCGGCACACTGCAGCTGTAAGTTGGCTCTCCGGCAAGCACCAGCGGGACACTTACGCCACCGGACGTAGTACGTACGGACGAGCATTTACATTTAGTCATAAATACTAGTGGCTAGATAATATTTGAACATGTAAAAACTATGCTACGTTACTTGATTGAAAGATGTGTAGTAAATTTATTTATAACGTTATAAAACTTTATGTTAAAACCACGTGATTAAAACAACGGTCTCCGAATTTTAATTTAGAATCACAGAGGCTATGCTTTTATGTACTGAAAGTGCTAGAAAGGCTGTAGTGGGTGTTCTGTAGTTGTAGTTACTAGGCAACGTTTCAGACTCCCGAAATCCGCAAGTTGGCGGATTTCGGGAGTCTGAAAACGTCAATAAATGTGACATTTGGCGTTGCATTAGTTGTTGCCAGCGTTGCCAGATTGCTGCCAAATTTGGCAAAAAATTTTGCCCCTGTAGTTGTAACTTCTCCGTGAGGGCTTTGTGTCGTCCGTGATGCATTTGGCGAGTGCGTGAGTGACGTTGGCCATTTTAAATAACGGAACGCGGTGTCCTTCTTGTCTCTGTGTCGTCGTTTTGTTCTCGCGCTATAACCATAGAGAAAGAAGAACCTTTATTTCTCTATGCTATAACTAGCGTTGCAGAAGTTGGGACGCCTCCTCTTGCTGTGTGCGCAGCTGTGCAAATAAGAGATCGTGTCTCATAGTTAGGGAAACAATGCATCGTCCGCCGTGCATTTCGCGAGTGCGACGTTGGCCGTTTTAATTAACGGATTATGAACCGCGCGTTGCAGAAGTCTGGGCGCATTCTCTTGCTGTGTGCGCAGCTGTGCAATTAAGAGATCGTGTCTGGATCAGTATTAGGGACGACGCGTATGAATGCGGGGGAAGTGAGTGAGCCGCGTCGAATTCATGAACCGCGTTGCCGAAGCACGAAATATCTCCGTAGCTTTGCGTACCTAGTTGACTGTGCACTATAACGCGTTTTCTGGGGAAACTGAATTGAGTCCGAACTATATGCCTTGTGGTGGCGCAGCTAGGGGAAGCGTAGCGTCTCCGTAGTCGCGCGTGGTCGACGCGGCACGATCAGCTGTGCAGAGAGCTACTTCTGAGATATTTCATCGGCGCGGACACGGTCAGGAAATGAAAGCGCACCGCCTGCTGCGACTCTGTTCAGTTTCCCCAGAAGATGCGTCGTTGTGCGCATTCGACTATAGTACGCACCGCTAAGGAGATATTCCGTGCTTCGGCTACACGAGCGCAACGTATATTGAAGCGCGGCTCACAAATTCGCTTCCCCTTAAGCATTCATACGATCTCTTATTTGCACAGCTGCGCACACAGCAAGAGAACGCGCTCCGAATTCTGCAACACGCGGTTCATTCCGTTAATTGAAACGGCCAACGTCGCACTCGCAAAACGCGCGGCAGGCGACATGCACCACGGAAGACATAAAGCCTCACGGGGAAACCACAACTACAGGAGCAAATTTTTTTGCCAAATTTGGCAGCAATTCGGCAACAACCACTCTAAAGTCTGGCAACTGAGATATGCAAAGTCAAACAAACTTTTGCAATAATTACCCCAAAGTCTGGCAACTAAGATATGCAACGCCAAACAGAACCTTGCTGGTGGCTGTATATATTATCATGCTGAAAACGCAATTTCAATGACGGCGCGAACGTAGGATATGTTTAATTCACGTGTGATTGTTGCGCTATCTACGTAGTTCAATGGCGTCACTGGTAGGTGTTCTGTGATAGCGTCTATAAGTTGATCTTTTTTTTCACCGTTCTGGCCCAGATAATTCGGATCCTCGAACGCCTGCAGTTGAGTTGGAATGATTGGCACCTTTTCTAATTCAGCGATGAAAGTTTATACCTGTGGAGCGTTGCGCGCTGGTTTAAGATGTTTGCTTGCAACGAAGCATCAAGTACCGACTGACCTGACCAAGAAACTTCACACGACTACATCTTCTCGTTGTGCTAGTCTCGTGAGGGTGAACGACGCGGACGGCGTCCGCCAAGTTACCCTAAACAATTCGAAAAAACGGAACGTGCTGTCCCTTGCTGCGCTCAGGGAACTGGACGCTTGTTTTAGGGAGGTCGACAAGGAAAGGTCCGTTCACTGCGTTGTTCTTTCCAGCAGCGGACCTGTATTCAGCTCTGGGCATGACCTGAAGGAGCTAAAAATCGAGTCTGGTGATAGCGCCAAAATTCAAGAAATATTTTCCCTCTGCACCAGCGTCATGATGGCCATACGCAGGCTGTCGGTGCCCGTGATCGCGCAGGTGAACGGTCTCGCTGCAGCGGCAGGGTGCCAACTGGTCGCCACATGCGACATCGTACTAGCTTCGGACAAGGCGACTTTCTCGCTTCCAGGTGCGGCGTTCGGTCTGTTCTGCTCGACCCCAGGCATCGCGGTTGCCCGTTGCGTGCCTCAGAAAATGTCCGCCTACATGCTGTTCACCGGCAACGCCATAAGCGCCCAGGAAGCTCTGAGAAATGGCCTGGTGAGCAAGGTGGTTCCCGAGGATAAGCTCCAAGAGGAAACAGATCAAGTGGTCTCGGCCATCAAGGCTAAGAGCAAATCCGTTCTGTGCCTTGGCAAAAAGTTCTACTACAGGCAGATTCAGATGGGCATTGAGGATGCATACACTGAAGGTGAACGTGTGATGCTTCACAACTTGGAGTACTGTGACTCACAGGAAGGTATTAACGCTTTTGCCGAGAAGAGAAAACCATGCTGGGAACACACGGACCGAAAAATTTAGTGTTCATACTTTATTTTGTCTACTTGGTTGCATACCCAATGTATTGTTACACTCTAATGGAGGCAGAAGGCAGAGACTTTCTATACAAAATAATAAACACTCATTCAATGAGTGAACAGTTGTTCATAGCAATGCAGTGGCTTCATATAAGTCTTACTTACAAAAAAACTAATTCCTTATTCTATTCCTTCCTTTTTCAATCAGTGGTGCAATTTTATATGCTTCCAAATCCGGATGGAGGCATTCTATTTATTACGTCAAAAAATCGGTGGTCTACATCGGTCATGATGACGAGGGGAAGTGAATAGCCAATGTGGGAAATAGAGGCCTGCGTCACAGTTTTGACGTTGGCTTGAGGACCAATTGAGCGCAATTGAAATGTGACGCGTCCACTGTCTCTGTGGAACGTGCCCCGTGTGAAAAGAAACGTGTCCAGGGTCTCTGTGGGACGCATCCCATGTTTCCGACGGACGCCTCAAGTGTCTGCGAAGGATGCGCCCAGTGTCTGTGACGGACGCACTCCGTGACAGACGCACGCAGTGTCTTTGCAAGGTACGCCAGCAAGCTCGTAACACCACGGAGTGAATTATGATAAGGCGGGCGAAGCTTAAAAGGGTTTCATCGGTAAACCGTGAATCCTCCATCTGTCCGTCTGTCTGTCCGTTTGTCTACGACAACGGATAGGCAGATATGGTCGGTACTACAACGGAAGAGGGATTGAGCCATAGCCTAAGTGCATGAGGCCCACTGCGACGCCATGTTCTCAATGTACCCGTATACTGAAAAGGCACAAAGCGCTTACATTTTAATCCAATCCATGCTGCCTTGCAGCCATTTCAAACTATTCGTTTAATTTCGGATGGTCTCTTTAACCGTTCCTCTGCTTCCGTCCGAAAAATGAACGAAAGCAGACACGTGACACTTTGGATCGCGTGACAGAACATGACGGCTCAAATGGGCCAATTGGCGACTCGATGAAATGAAACCCCTCCATCCGGATTTGGAACGCGCATAAAATTGCACCACTGGGGATGTTCATAAGTGATTCAGAACTCTGTGTTATAACCTCTTGCTTAATATTGCTTTGGGACATCAAACCCCGTAACGCATTACAATTTGTCAAGTCATATTAAAAAGAAACACTTATTTATTCGAAGTACTTTACAGACATCCATATGAAGCATTGAGTGAGCAGAACTTTTGAAGTAATGCAGTAACACGAAAACTCAAAACAACTGAAAAATTTTATTGCTATACTGAAACAAGCCTCGTTTTAGCCACAAGAGCATGCATATTTGTCACAGTACTTCTATACGATTAGTTATTTGAGAAATGTACAGAAAGAAAAGTCAACATTTTCAGGTTGTAGTGTGCACTTTTAATTTTATACCTAAGCAGTTTTCTTCAGCATGACTTTCATTTGAAAATTCGCCATTGTAACTGGAGCAAGGGGCTGAAGTACTCATATTATTTTTTCATATATACCCAGAGAATTATTGGGTGAATCCTTGATGGTTGCACCAAGATGATGTATCAAAAATTAAATTGTGTATAATTCACTCTGTTAGATATTCTGTACAGTAGCAGCTTTTAGAGATATAGTATATATTAATAATAATAAATGGGGTTTTATGCCCCAAAAACACAATATGCTTATAAGAAACACTGTAATGGAGGGCTCTAGAAACTTTGATTATCTGGTATAGTATATAAACTATATGGCTGAAAATACAGTAGATTAAATCTAGCATTTGCCTGATGTAAACACCATCTAGTACTTTTTTTTAGTGAGAGCATTTTTGCCTTCATGGAACCAAGAACTCGGTGACACCAATGAAAAAAGAGCAAACATGAGACGTAGTGGACAGGATAGCAGAAGATTTGGCTTTAAACAATTGAGCTTTTGTTGCGTTTTTTTTTCTTGTGATTTGAGCCACCCAGTCTTTCCTAAAAGAGAGTGAATAACTCGTCTACATTGGTGGAACATTTTTGTGAGAATAAGGTATCTTGTAGTAAACTAGAAGACTATCCGTGTTCCCCATTTTAAAACCTATCTACAATTTTTAGGCAGCAACTAACGATACTTGGCGACAACTTTTCATGGCACTGAAGGGAAAGCTACTGGGGCGGGGTTCTGCATATGTAGCAATACATAAAGTCGTTTTGGCACGCATCTCGTAACGCTGTGGAAAGTGATGGGGGAGCACCATCAGCAGACGCTGCTTAGCGTTTTAGGTGCACGTAAAAAGGCGGGACTTCCTCACGCGTTCAAAAATGCGAAGTCACAATAGATAAATTAAAAGAAATACAAATATATTACTGATGTGAGCTGCGTCGTGTCTCAAATAGCTTCACGCAGAAAATTAGAGAGGAACATTTATATTTCAAGGTGAAAATACAGGCGCCAATTTGAATCTACCTTCACTGGCGGTAGAATACACGCGATTTGGCTCGGTAGCTTTCTCTTCAGTGCCAAGAAAAGTTGTCGCCGAGCATAGCTGCTTTACGGTTGTACTTACAATCGCAACATTGTAATTTACCAAATTACAATGTCATTGTTATGCTGTTTCATTCAACGTAAATCACCATATGTGCCAGCTCACTCTCAGACTTTCGCTTACACTCATAGTGCAGTGCACACAGGGCACGGTATAATCTTGTTGCCCTTAGATTTTATGCAGAATATAAGGGTAATGGTAAGATTTCACTTCTAATGTAATAAAATAGAATGACCCCAGAGATGTATAACATGCAGTTGCTTGGCAGGGGTCTCCCTATTTTGCCGGACAGCCACATAACTGCTGTGCTGCCAAATGTAGCTCAGATGCTATGCGACCCCTGTCATGAAGCCAATTGACAAAACTGTGATATCAGAAGAATGTGAACAGTTCCTTGTGGGCATCTGGATGGTAAAATTATACACAGCATATGTCTCTTCGTGCAGCATTTATTTGAAGAGCACTTCAAGGAAGTGCATTGGATATGCTATAATCCTTGCTTTGATGTCTTTCTGAAGAAAATAAAGTAGCAAGTGCAGCTTTCTTCAAATAAATCTAACTAAGAAAAAAGAATAAGTTAAATGTAGAATTGAAAGAAATGGCAAACTATTCCGTAATTCATGTAAAAAAAATTAAAAAAAAGTGATGAGCTTTCTGGTGTGAAAACAACTATAATCAAACATGGAGGAGGTGTTTGTCGATGCATTCAGTAGAACTTTGATTTGTAACAATCCTAAATCAATGACTTTGTGAAGTTCAAGGCTGAGGTTGCCTGTTTCAAATGCAAGGTCTGGCAATCCAAAAGCTTCAGTTGAGGTACCTGCAGATTTAGAAATATATATCAAGGAAAGTTTAAAACAGTGAAGTGAATGGAGAGAATAAATATTTCTGTTCTATGGATTAAGTGAAATGAACAGGTTGAGAAACACTCCTAATTCTAATGAATCCATAAGTTACTTGCTTTGATTGTTACATGGGGTTTAACGTCACAAAACCACCATATGATCATGAGACGCTGTAGTGGAGGGCTCCGAAAATTTCGACCACCTGGGGTTCTTTAACATGCACCAAAATCTAAATACACAGGGCTCAAGCATTTTGGCCTCCATCGAAAGTGCAGCCGTCGCGGCCGGGATTCAATCCCGCGACCTGTGGGTCAGCAGCCGAGTACCTTAGCCTTTAGACCACCGCGGCAGGGCTAAGTTTCTTGCTCTCTGGCAACTGAATAAGCAAAAAGGAATGACGTAGCGTTTATGAAAGCGAGTATAAGACAAAAATTTGCATTGGGAGGCCTGAATAAACCCTGCAATCACATGGTCAGCCTTTGTCCTGACAACAATCTGCATATGTGTTAAAATCAATACAATTGCAGCACCCATGCTGTTATACACTTTCACCTCCCCGTTTGTTCAGTACATAAAAAAAAAAAGACCACACATTAGCTAATGAGAGATTGAAAAGCTTAGCAATCAATTGCAAAACACTCCCTGGTGCTGGTATTGAGTCATATCCCCTACGTATTATAGTGCTGAAGATAAAAAATACAGCGTACAAGCCCATTACAACCTTGATTGTATACCATCTGATTATAACCGAGTGTTGGCAATTGATTTATATTTTGGATCTCCCTGACATGGTACCAGTGGGCTTTGGGGCGATATGAAAAATTTTTTGCTAAATACTCCTCAAGAAAGGAGAACTCTGAAAAGAATTGCAAGGCTGTCAAGGGAAGTAATTAGCAGTAAATGAGGATGTTGGCGTAGAAAACTAACGGCTAAGTTTTGCAATAAAAAAAAAAGAAGGCAGTGTGATTGACGAAAAAAGAGATCTCTTCAGCCAACAGGGATTAGAGGATTTTTCCAATATAAAGATAATGCACACAGAATAAATGTATTACTCAATGGAGACAGACAAAAAAAACTCAAAATACGAACAGCACAACTTAGTAATAGTTACAGCTTAACTATATGTATACAGAAGCAAGAAACAAAGGCAGGGAGCAGGGCTCTTTCCTGTCCTTGTTTCTTGCTTTCCTTGTTACACTGTAACTACTACTAGATTGCGATGGTTGTAATTTGAGCTATGTCTTAGTTACTAACTAGCCTAAGTTTCCACTCTTCATACAGACAGGAAATTCATGGATTATACTATGTTTAAAAAAATAAAGCAAGTGTGTAGACATCACGACTAAACTATGACCGACACTTATAGATGAGAAGACGATAAGCGATTGCTGTTTTGGACAACCTTCCTTCCGAAATATTATTGGTAATTGGACTAAGCTGGCAATAGCTATCACTGAAATATGTAAGCTTCTTTGCAAAACTGCAAAACGGCCATAAAAATTCTATGCATAAGAAATGTTTGAGCTATAAAATTTAAAATAGCTGTCAAAAGGGCAGAACTATACACATAGAGTAAAACAGTGCTAGAGCAAGAGGGTTCAAGAAAGGGTGGTGTACCCTGCAAGAATTGATGGATTGCCTTAGTATTTTGGTCCATTGACTTGAGTAATATTTTCGAAGTTTTGATTCAGTTTACCAACCTAATTGGGCTGCACATATTAGTGAACAGCCTCATAATACAATTGTCAAGTTCAAGCAAGGCACAAATTCAGGCAGACATATAGAGGCT